CCAAATGTGGGAAGGAATTGATTCACTCGACGCATTACCCTCTCTCACGTAGTATTTCCCTCTTATCCCTCTTCTTTCTTCACCCCCCCCCCCCCCCCAAATGAGGGAAGGAATTGATTCACTCGACGCATTACTCTCTCTCACGTAGTATTTCCCTCTTATCCCTTTTCTTTCTTCACCTCCCAAATGAGGGAGGGAATTGATTCACTCGACGCATTACCCTCTCTCACGTATTTCCCTCTTATCCCTCTTCTTTCTTCTCTCCCCCTCCCCCCCCCCCCCCCCCCCCAAATGAGGGAGGGAATTGATTCACTCGACGCATTGTCCTCTCACGTATTTCCCTCTTATCCCTCTTCTTTCTTCTCCCCCCCCCCCCCCCAATGAGGGAAGGAATTGATTCACTCGACGCATTGCCCTCTCACGTATTTGCCTCTTATCCCTCTTCTTTCTTCTCCCCCCCCCCCAAATGAGGGAGGGAATTGATTCACTCGACGCATTGCCCTCTCACGTATTTCCCTCTTATCCCTCTTCTTTCTTCTCCCCCCCCCCCCCAAATGAGGGAGGGAATTGATTCACTCGACGCATTGTCCTCTCACGTATTTCCCTCTTATCCCTCTTCTTTCTTCTCCCCCCCCCCCCAAATGAGGGAGGGAATTGATTCACTCGACGCATTGCCCTCTCACGTATTTCCCTCTTATCCCTCTTCTTTCTTCTCCCCCCCCCCCCAAATGAGGGAGGGAATTGATTCACTCGACGCATTGCCCTCTCACGTATTTCCCTCTTACACCTGTTCTTTCTTCACCTCTCACACTTATTTCCCTCTTATCCTTCTTCTTTCTTCAGCCCCCTCTCCTCTCCTTTCTCAATAACGCTTGACAACGTTTATAGATGCATGCTTCCTTTGTTTAAATTCTATTGTTAACTAATTCGGGAATTTAAAAAAAGATTCGGGAAATTCAACGTCTCGTTTTAAATAGTAGAACGCCGTTATATTCCTTGAATATAGACATTGTTTTATTAACATTTCTTGTGTTCAGCCCAAAAACAGTTGGACTGGGGTCTCCAATAACACCGGAATTTTTGAGGGATATGGATGCATCAAGAAGTCGAACGATTTCAAAGGATTATCGTTGGATTGAGGGGATAAAAGTTGATTAAATTATTTTTTCATTAGCACATTTATGTTCAGCAGATATTGGTATTCAGATCAAAGGCTCCTTTGAGTGCCACAGTATAAAATTTTCAGAATATTGGCAAAACCAATAAGCCAGATTTTTTTCTTTTTCAGCGCCGTAGGCAAAAATTTTGGGAATTTGGATTTGGCAAAAAATACCACAATGCGATGGAGTCATGACCCTGAAACTGCTTCATAGTTGAATTGCGTTGACTTCTCTTTGTAAAATTTCATAGAGATTTAACTTTTATTAATGAAATTCGTTATTTTTTAAGTAATATAATTATTTTAAGAAAAAGTTTTTACTTTTTATTGTCAGAAATTTTAAGCAATATTCGAGGATGGAGCTGCAATTTAAAAATTCTTAACAATTTTCAAATCGGGATCCCGATGTTAGAGAATATAGAGAAATTGGCCAAAATCTCTTTCTCTGCTCTATCTTATAAAAATGACATTTGAAACGTTGGCAATCTCTGATTGGTGGGCATTATATGTAAACGTCTATTAGAGGATTCCACATGGGAAGATAGAGAGTTAGAAGGGGAGGAGTTTCTGACAAATCCTCGTAATTTTTAACTCTCCATTCTTCAACTCCTCCCATATTTAGCTATGTTTTTAAGTCAGTCAAAACCTCCATCAAACTCGCATTCATTTTAATTTTAATTAACCTTTCAAGTTGCTATCCAAATTGTTTGCTTTTAAGTTTTATTCAAATTAACATGTTTAAATTATAATTAATTTTATCTAGCCTTTATCAGAGGGGAAATAGGGTAGATGTTATATATAATAGTTTTAACTGCTTCCAAGGCCAAGTAATATAAAATCTCTCAAACAAACTTGAATCTTTTTGACAAAATATTTTGTCAATCCACATCCTATCCTATCTCTCTGTTGTATATGGAAGGATGTGGATTGTGACAAAAGTGTGGGATGTCGATTATATGGGAGGAATGTCGACTGTAACTCTAAAGTTTCTTTGAAAGGGCTCCACTGCCACTTTTACCGTCCTTTTGTAGAATTTCATAATCAGCTTTGCTTTTTGGCTTGGTTATATGTCTTTAATGAAGTAAAATATTTTAATTTTTATCCAGAAGAACAATGATTCTTCTATCAATTCTATTTCAATTTGGCATAGCCTGGTTGCTTCTAACGGATTTAAATGGAATGAAACCTGGTAGTAGTAACACTATTAACAAAGAAATTGGAAAGAAAAGAGCTTTGGTTATTGCTCCCAACTTTCTTGAAGTTCATTTTAAAATGCTTAGTGTCTTTGCCAATGTGCTGACCGAAAAGTTTAATGTGGTGGGTGTTAGAAATATATAATTATAGTCTGCATTTTAGATATTATATTCTGATTTTAAAATTTTATTTGAACATTTTATTTATAAAATCTCTGCTTATATAAAATATTCCAATTATTATATTTTATTTTCAAATTTTTAAATCCTTCCGTTAAAATATTATTTAACTAGGGTGCACGCCGAACGCTCAGAGGCGGGGGAGCAAAGGGGTTTGGGTCGGGGTTTTAATTAAAAAATATTGTAAAGAAAAAACGCCCTAAGGTGTTGCTCTTATAACATTATAGACAAAAAATAAATTTAACGTCAAAATATTTTTATGAGTAATTTGTTGTCACCACATGACAACTTTAACATTATATAATTTTATTAACTTTATTTTTAAAAAATAAATTATTTTTTATTATTTTATAATAATAATTTAAAAAGTTTTAAATATTAAGCACTTTTTAATTCTGAACACCAAAAATGAAAAAGTTGGAAAAAATTTCAATTGTGGAATTGATACTGAAAAATTTGAACAAGGAGACGGAAGAGATAAAGAAGGCGGAAATACATATCAAATTATAAGTATTTCAAATGAATATCCCAAAAAATTGGACGACGGCGTAAATAGTCTAGAGAATAAATTCTTAAAGAGAGGATTTGAACAGAACAGTCAAATTCTCACAAATGAAGCTTACACCGTGTTTGAAGGTTAAAATTTCTTTCCTCAAGGCAATCATGAAATGTTTAGCCCGTGCTTTGTTGGAGTCTTTTTTATACTCCCCTTTGAAGAAACTTGTTGAATTACTTATTTCCTTCTTTCTTTCACGAACTCCGCTCCGGATATTTTAAATCCCTGACTCCAGCTCAGTCGATTCCTATCTGATTCGTGTAGCCTTAACCAATACTGTTAAAGACTAATATAAACATTCAAGATTTGTTCAATAAAAAACAACATCTTATTTATGACCTGCAGGATGCAGAGTTCGATTTGGGATTTTTTGACACTTGGGACACCGGAGCTCTCTTTATTTTCCATGAAGCAGGAATTAAAAATGTTTTTGGCATTAACAACACCCAACTTAATGCTTACCAATTTAAATATGCTGGAAAAGAGTTTCCAAAGAATGTTCCAGGTTTTTATCAAGTATATGACAAAATATTAGCCTGGTAATTTCAGAAATTTATTCGGCACAAATAGGCGATAATGAATTATTTAGTCCTAACCGACTTATTATTACCTATGCAATGGAAGGAAGACAAAAACAAATACTTGAAGAATATAAAAAAAGTTTAGAAATCTTCTCATCTGTTCATAGCAAATTGGTTATTTAAATTAAATTTAAATTCTAAACAATTACGGGTGTTTCCCCTTGTCAGTGTTTTATAAGTACTTAAAGTAAAAAATGGTCAGTCATTTCTTCCTTGCATAATTTCAAAAAATTTCCCTGTGAAATCATTCATAGTCACTCTTCTAATAATTTCATTTTTTATTAGTAACCAATTATGTAAGGAAAAATGATTGACCATTTTGTACATAAATTAAAAAGCTGACTGGGCAGTGGGAGTGAATACCGATTTTTGTTGTAACGATAGTTGGTGGATAATTGAATTCAATTAATTTATATTTTTTGTAGATGAAATACATTTAATACTGTATTTACTCTAATTACCGGCTCTCACTATGATAATTATTTACATTATCCATATTAATTAACTCCTAACTTTGGAAATTTTAATAAAATTACCTGCAGTCAGTCGGAAACGTTCTTAGATCTAAGTCGAATGACATCAGAATGTTTTGACTAAATCTCTGAGCTAAATGTCCCTAGACTAGAAGAACCTCTACCTCAGATATATCAGTTAATATAAAATTTACCTGAGAAATTGCTGATTTTTCCGATTTTCGCTTTACGATTTTCGATACAGCTATAGATAGATATATAAATTTTACAGGACGACTGGTTTGAACAAAGAAATCAACAAAACCAATCAAAAACAAAAGGGCAACAAACCCCACCAACAACACAAGGCCTTTATTCTAAGATTAAAGGAATATTCCTTAACGGGCATGAACTGTTTGATTTTCCTTTAGGCGAAAACAAACCTGAAAATGTTTTTTATGTTGTTGGAATTCATTTGAAAGAATCTGACGATAAAAAGGCAAAAATTTTTAAACATTCAAATAAATACATAGAGTTGTCGGTTTTAACAAAATTTTCGGGTAAACGAAACCGAACGGCAAACCTACCCGAAACTTTTAACCGAACCAGGAAACAGAACAGAAAATCCTGAATTTTCTGATTATGTTTGAAATATTTAATAAACAAAACGTTAATGTTATCGTTAATATGCGACAAAATTCGGGAGAATAAATAGAGAACAATAGGAAAGGACCTAATTTAGTAGGACACAACAACCATCTAACCAAGCTTATTGTTAAATTATTTTTTACTCATTAATGCTCTTTCTGCAAGTACGGACATAATACTTTAATATTTCTGTTTTCAAAGGAACCGGAGAGTTCAAACAAACAAGTGATTATGAGCATTGAATATTGCAGACAGATTGCTCAACCAGAAACCATAAAAATTTTGGAAAAATTCGTGGCGGCTATTAAGAGTGTGTCAGATTCGAAAAAAATGGATTTAACATTTATTTATGATTGTAAAGCAGGAGGAGATGATTTGGAAAAGTTAAAACATGTAATGAATGATGTAAAACATGAAATTAAAAAAATTCCAGACATGCAAGAGGAATTGGGTAAATTTTAAAATTGTTATAAAATTTTAGATCTTTCTACTTTTCAGCAAAAGGTAACACAATCCTTTTAATCACCAACAGCAGTGGATACCAAGTACTTGAAGCATTTTACGAAAATGTTACAATTTTATCTTTGCCTTATATGGTAGATCAATTTTATGTTGCTGAAGCCTTGAAAATACCTCATGAAATAGAAATCGAGAATTCCGCTGATGGTGAAAAGCCAATTAGCGGAGGAGATCACAAACATGGGCAGAAAATGGACGGAAATGGACGAAGCAAATCCCCTGTTCGTGGAAGGTCCCCTGCTCAATCAGGAAATGAACGAAGCAAATCCCCTGCTCGAGGAAGGTCCCCTGCTCAATCAGGAAATGAACGAAGCAAATCCCCTGCTCGAGGAAGGTCCCCTGCTCAATCAGGAAATGAACGAAGCAAATCCCCTGCTCGAGGAAGGTCCCCTGCTCGAGGAAGGTCCCCCGCTAAAGGCAGTTCTCATGCTAGACCTTCAAGTTTGGACAAACATGGCGAGAATCAACACTTAGTTGCTAAACAAGAAGTTGTTAGACTTGCTCCAACATTAAGCTTCAAAATGAGACTATTGAAGACGTTGGAGATATTAAAGCGGTATTGGAAGAGTTGTTGGATAACGAGTAATTAATTTTTAATATATGTAAATTTGAGAATAATATTGAAATTTTGTTTCTGTTCTTTATTTTATGCTTAAAAAGCCAGCAGGCTTTATCCGAAAGTCACATTATTTATAATAAGAAATTATTTTTTGAAAAATATAAAGTTTTTATTTCAGTCACAAGGAAAAGGTTAACAAAGTTCATGAATATTTACGCCAGACATTGAAAAAGAACAATCCAAAAGATATTTTCCTCGCTAAAGTAAATGAAGCTCTTCGCAATTCTAATGGAGAAAATGAACTGGATTGAAAAGTACTGGATTGAACAAGAGTGAAAAGTAAATTGTAAAAATGTAAATATTTTTATTTATCGAGTCTGTCACTTTGTAAATTTAAGTAACATACTTCAAAATGTTTTACTCAAAATCTTCTTTAAAGTCGGGGTTGTTTATACGTTTTTCATTACCCCGTTTTTATTCACACATTTCGGCATAATTTCATTGTAAAATTTTTTAAAGTCCCCATTTATGTACAGTAAGAGGAAGGTAAATGTTTTATATAGCGATACTGCTTCATTGCTGGTTTCACTTTTTTAATAGTTCATAAACGCCTCTTAGTATACCTCTTGAATGCTAACAACCTTTATCTACCTCTTACTCACTATATGTCACAAAAACTGTAGAACCCTTCTACATATATCTGATGTACCGATGAGCTATGAATTCGATTTGAAGTGTTATGAGAATATAACTCAAACTGTTAAAATTCCTATAACTCTTGGGTCTATAACTTTGAGACATCAAAAATTTATAAATTGAATATTCAACATATCTTCGATGTACAGCCATTATTTGAAAATTAATTTCTTTTAGAAAAATCATAGATCTACGGTACATCTGGTATAAACCAAGATTTTAACTTGAAACAAGTAAATACCCCAATGTATTTTATTTATTTTTTTTCGTACCATGTAATTTTTTATTTATTATATATTTTTAACTTTATTTTTTAATTCTGTAGTTTATCGATAAATTTGTAGAGTAAAATTGTTTTATTGGTCTTCGCGACGACAGTAGCGAAGCGGTCGCCACGGCGACCATAGCTAACTTTTAGACTTTGTGGATGGGTAAGAACAAAATGTCATAACTTTGTCAAATCAAGTCAGATTTGTTGATTTTGGTGTCATTCGACTCAGCTCGACGAGCTCTTTCGAATGAGGTATAATCCGCATATTCGAATTTTTACCCCAGAAATGTGCTTACTTGATTAAGATTTTTGACTTCTTGGCCTTCCAAAATTTTCGCTCGGCAGTAAAAGAGAGAAGAAAAAAGTTGAAAAGTTACGTTCAATTTTGCGTGTCACGACACTTGCAGATATGACATTTGCAGACCCGACACTTGCAGACCCGACTTTTGCAGACCCGACATTTGCAGATACCGACACTTGCAGATATGACACTTGCAGATCAGACATTTGCAGATCCGACTTTTGCAGATTAGACCCATTTCGCTCTCTTCTTTACCTTACTTATACACCGTGGAGTGTTTGCTGCTGTGGAGGAATCCTGGGATGCCCATCTCATCGATGATAGGAATAGGATCATGTTACGGGCCCAGAGCCCAGCGACCGTTGACTCCCCGCGAGGCGCGTGCCGCAAAACCCCGCGCGAAGCGCGGGGTTTTGCACAAGTGCCTCGCCGACGCTCCATAGGTCTACGTTGAACATTTTGAACATTTTTTTTCTCCGGAAAAAAGAGTGGTGACGGCGACTCAGCTCGTCAAGACGAATTGGTATGGGTCTTATATTTGATTTTTTAAGATTTTTAAATTTTTTTAAATTTAAAATTTTTTTCAAAAATTAATATCTGCAAAAGTCGGATCTGCAAATGTCTGATCTGCAAGTGTCATATCTGCATGTGTCGGTATCTGCAAATGTCGATCTGCAAAAGTCGTCTGCAAATGTCGGGTCTGCAAATGTCATATCTGCAAGTGTCGTATGACCCAATTTTGAGAATTTTTGCGGAATAATAAGTGACCAGATACTCGGTACTTATTCCCCCCCTCCCAGTCCGCTTCTTACTTTTTTACGGAATGGTCAGTATTTTCTTCCTTGTATAATTTTTGAAAATTTCCCTTATTCATTCACTCACCCTACCTTCAATTCAGGCAATTTTTTGTTTATGATTGCCCGTCTTATACATTTTGCCCTTGTTACTAGTACATAAATAACTGAATAAATCGACGTTCTTTGTTTATATTTAAAGACGGATACAAATGAACAGTAAATTATTGAAGAAAGAGTTCGTGGATGACCAAATACTCAAAGTTCTGTGCGTGTCTTTCAAACTTAAGGAACAGACAAGTCAAGGGACGACAAATCAATGTCGGACAATTCAAGTTTTTACCAAATCACGGAACGACCAAATCATGGGACTTTCTGTCATTTTTTAAAAACAGAATATTTTTGAAGATCAAAATTTAAAAAAATTCTGATTTTCAAAAATATTTTGCAGACAAAATTGAAAATTCAGAATGTTCCCTGAATTGGACGTTCCGAAAGTTGTTAAGACTGTGACTGTCGTTCCGTGACTTGTTTTCGTGGCCGTGCAAAATCAAAGCTTTTCATAAATGTATTAAGATTGGCGGGTGGTTGGAAATCTTCGGATATTCCGATATCCGAACCGAAAATTTCCGGATATTCGGCTATTTTTGGATCCGGATCCGCCAACCTTAATATGTATGAATTCAATTTAAATAATTCAATAAAATGTCTTCTAACACATTTCTTTGCATTATTTGTTCTGAAACTTTGACTCGTAATAATATATACTCAATCCCATGCGGTCATGTGTTTCACAAGGAGTGTATTACAAATTGGTCCCCTCAGGTCAAAAATTTAATTAAAAACCTAGCCTTAATTTTATGCTTTTTAGTCAATGTGGTGCCCTAAATGTGGTAAAGCTACAACTAAGAGGAGTATTAAGCAACTTTTTGTCGAGGAGAATTATGCTGGTAGTTCAAGTGATATAAAGACTGAGGATGGTTCAGCTGTGATTAAAGTAGGTTGAAAGAAATTTTTATAAGTAATCAAAAATTGGTCTGAATTTCTTTTTTTCTCGCAAAAATTTACCGTGTTTGTAGTACTGAATTAGTAAATAATCTATTAAAATTAATAATAATAAATTAACAATAATATGGGCTGAGCTCTCTATCGGATGACTCGTAATGGCAAAAAATCCGACCTTATACGCATATGTATGAGGGCGGTTTGCATTTTTTTATCATTTTTGTACCTAAAAAGATTTTCTCGTTAAATTCTATTCTTTTTGTCTGTGGCATATTCAAATGATAGTTTTCAATTTTTCCAAATTTTTTCAAAAACGCAAATCGCCCTTATTTGCGTTGCCAAAAATCCCATTTTTTTAAAAATATTTTTTTAGTAAAATTTAACATTGATTAAACAATTTTTCAGTTATATATTAAACGTATTGAAACTAAGAACGTAGTTGTGCTTGAAAATGTTAAAAATTCTGATACTATCAAAGTTCTTATGTGTATGGTGGAATTAAAGACGGGAATTCCAGTTGATGAACAACGTTTGGTTTGTAATGTTATAATGTTTATTATTAAATTAAAAATATAAAATAGGTCGAGATATTGACTAAATTAAATAAATTTTAGATTTATGGAGGTAAGCAACTTGAGCGTGATCATAAAATTTCTGATTGTGGTATCAAAAATGGTACATTTCTTCACTTAGTTTTGCGTCTGAAAGGATGTTGATTTTATGATATTTTCCAGCCAATTTGATAAAAAATTTTAAAAATTTTACTGGCTTTTTGGATATTGAAAGTTTTAACTTTAAAATTTTCATTTTTTATTACATATAAATGTTGATAAATTGTTTGGGCTGTTTGTATTCTTCTCTTTGTTCAAGTTTCTAAAGATTTTCCAATAATCGACTATCCTAAAATTTTGAGCAAATTTTTTCTTGGAATACTTAATTTTTTTTATTCGGCTTTCGAATATTATTTAATAGAAATATGTAAGTGCCTGATGTAAATGAAGAACCCTTAATAGTAGATCTCGGTTTGGTTCGGTCTTGGAAAATTTTTCTTGTGAAGGAGAAAACTAATAAAATCTAAAGATTATTATTTAAATATAGTGATAAATATAAAGGTATCGATAAGGTGGGGTGGGGGCTAACTCAAGGAATACCAACTCAAGGAACAAACAAATCAAGGAACAGACAAGTCAAGGAAAAGACAGGTCAAGGAATGACCAACTCAAGGAATATTTTAAAAGTCAGAATATTTTTAAAAACCAAAATTTTTCAGAATTTTTTTTTAAATTCTGCCTTTCAAAGTGTTCTAATTTGTTTTTAAATTCTTATTTTCTAAAAATATTCAGATTTTTCAAAAAATTTCGATTTATAAAATATTCCTTGAATTGGTCATTCCTTGAGCTGGTCGTTCCTTGATTTGTCTTTTCCTTGACTTGTCGTTCCTTGATTTGTCGTTCCTTGACCTGTCTGTTCCTTGAGTTAGCCCGACACGGATAATGTGTAGCCTTCATCTTTCTTGGACTTTCGTCTTTCAAAAATTTAAAAATTTTCTATATTTTGGGTAATTCGTCATTTTGGGTGCGATATTTAGGGTCATCGATATTTTGGGCTCGATATTTAGGGCGCGATATTTTTGGGTGTCGATATTCTGGGGTGGAGTCGAAAAAAGTGATGAGAAAAAACGATTCCCAACCTAAGTTCATATAGTGCCGGATTTTTAATTTTATTTACAATTTTCATAATAGACAAAATCTTTTCTTTTTATTTGTAACAAAATTTATATATGTAATACATCAAATTTATACGTAAACGTGTAAGTTTTATCTTTAAAAATTCCATATCATTTATATAATTTAATTTCAAAAAACATAACATCAGCAACCTCTCAATTCCAGGACTAAATGAATAGTTTCATTATTTTTAATATTGTAATAATCAATTGTACGGCCATCTTCAAGCTCGACTTTACCATATTTCTAAAAATTATTTAAGTTAATCAGATCAAATATTAGAATTTTAATAATTAAAATATTTATGAAATATTTTTTGAACAATTAATTTTTGGTGATATTTTTTTTTCATTTTTTGTAAATTTTTACAAACCAAACGCTGTTTATCAATTGGAATTCCTTCAATATATTCTATCATACTCTTAACAACAAGAATTTTATCAGTAATTTTTATATTTTCAAGAACTATTGTTTTGCCAGTAAGCGTTTTAACGTACAACTTAAATAAATATAAACTTATGAATTATTAAATTTAACTGATTATCAGCCAATATGCGCGGTAATGGATTATATTTATCACAGTGTGCGCAAACTAAGGCCAGCCAACCTTTATCGACTATAGAATTTTTAGGCTAAATCAATTCAAGTGAACCTTATATCATTCTAAAGCTTTATAAGCGGATCTGTCTCCAACCGAATGGATCGGGTCCAGGGATGTCCGCAATTGCGGATTTTCAAATAAAAATTGCGGATTGCGTTTGAGGATTTTTAAGATTTTTACGTATTTTCCTAAATTTTAAGATTTTCGACCGCGGGTCTGAAAAAGGAAGAAAAAATAATTTGGAGAGTGGAGTTCAATGGATTAGGCCAAATTATAGGATATCGATGAATTAAGAGGGATATCTAAGGCTGAATCATCATAGATTCCGTGATATTGTTCAAATCCCATGATACTCAATCCCTTTAATCCTTAATCCTCAATATCCTCCAAATCCTTGATATATCTTAAAAAAGCCTAGGTATTAGGTATTAAAGCCAATTAATCTCAAAAATTGTTCTAAATCATCCAACCTACTTTAATTTTATTTGATTCAGATTTACTCTGCACATTGTCTAGAGGTTGTAAATTTATTTTCCTGACATCCTTCAACGTTGCAACTTTCCGACATGTAGGGCAATATTTTTTCTTCAAAATAAAAAATAAATTAGATTTTTAATTAAATCTTTCTACTTGTGAGATTATTTGTGTCATACAATCTTCATGAAAAACATGACCACATGAAATTGAAAACATATTATCAGAAGTCAAAGCTTTAGAACAAATAATACAAATAAATGTGGTAGAAGACATTTTGGGTATCTGAAATTGGTGATTCATATATGTATTAGCCAATGCCGGGACGGGATCCCGAGGGATAAATCCCGAAAAAATCCCGAATTTCAAATCCCGAAAATAATTATCAGGGATTCCGACCGGGATTCGGGATTTTTTTCAAAATAAAAAATTTAAACTTTTTATGAATAAAGTGCATCAAAATAGAGCTGCGTCGAAATTTCTAATTTCGACGTTTTTTTCTACCGATTTACGATTTTCGAATTTTTTCAGAAAATTTCGATTTCAATAATCTTAGTTTTTTCGATTTATGTTCGATATTCGATTTTTTTGTTGCAAAATTGCATTATCTTTTCTCTTAAGATTTTATTCCTGCGGCCCAAAAAATGAAGAAATTTGGCTGTTTGGCCTTCCAAAATTCTCAAAATTTTCGCCTCCGGCGCTAAAAATGGAAGTTTTTGGCTTAAGGATCTCTCAAAATTCTCAAAATTTTCTCCTGCAGCGCGGATGAAAAGATTTTGACTTCGGCGCATTAAGTTTATGATGGAATTGGAATTAAGAGGTATCCCCAACAGCTACAAAAAATCTGGCTTCATTTTCAAATTTTAACTAACACGACCCGACTTTTCTTTAACCCGGCCAACAGCTTTGATCATCATACAAAACAGCTTTGATCAAAAAATTAAACTCCAGAAAGAAGTAATAAACAATCAAGCTTTCTTTCGATCTCCGATTTTCGAAGATATTTTATTTCGACGCAGCCTTTTGAATGAAAAAACCTTTTGAATGAATAAATGAGAATGCGGAATTGTTTACACTTTTTAAAAAATAAAAAAAGATAATTATTTTTACTCATTCCTGCAACCTATCTTTTAAGAAGAAAATTGCCTTAAAGAGTTTATTTAATATTTAAAATATAATTTTTCTTTTTCAACTTTTTTGCCTCCTTTTGATTGAATAAGAGTAAGTGAATGATTTTCTCATAAATTTTTTAAATAATTTTGTCTGGAGCAATATTTTTAAAATTTTTTGGAATTCCTTTATTCTTTTATCGTTTCTCATTTGCATATAATAAAAGAAAGTAAATTAGATTTATTTTTATTCATTCATTAATATAAATTTATTTTTTTCGAATAAGTTTAATGTTTCTTTTGTTAGTCAAAATCAATCTAACTTACTATAAGCGAGATAGTAAAAATTCGAATTCCGAGACCAAGATAATTCTAAACGAGCGGAGAGTGAAACTATCACCTCCTAATTTAATTTAAAATTTGGGCAAGTTTGACAAATAGCCCAGATAGGTTTATAAGCAAGTTTTCGAAAATTTCTTAGGAGAATTTTTGGGTAACTTAACCCATCCATAATGTACATTTTTAAAATTTGTTCGGTAATTTTTAATTAATTTGAATATATCTAAATTTCAACACTCCATTCCCCTCCCATTTTTAGAGTTTACCTTTTTTTAATATTTTGGAAAATTAAATTTTAATTGAAAAGATGGTTGAAAATTTGCCTATTTCTGATTCAAACTTTATGGTAATTTTAAAAATTAATTTTTATTTTTTTTTAAATTAAAATTTTAGCAAAATATGCTTGAGTTAGGCAATAATGTCTTGAAAGTTCAAGAAAATTATAATTTAATGATTGAAAAAAATAAATCTTTAGAAGAAGAAATGAAAAAGGTTGGTTTAAAAATATTCGGGTTGATTGTTGAAAAATATTAAAATTTTTATGTTAATAGAAATATAGTAATAAATTAATAAATTATTTACCACAATTAAAAATCTACATAATCTATTCATGAATTTAGTATATGATGGATAATGATAAAAAATTGGAAAATATACAAAACAGCTTTGATCAAAAAATTAAACTCCAGAAAGAAGTAATAAACAATCAAGCAGATAAACTTCAAAATTTAGAACAGGAATATAAAGAAAATTGCCAGTCTTTGGAATTAAAAATACAAGAAATAAAGGAAGAAAATAAAGACAAAATTACAAATTTAGAAAAAATGATTTCTGATTTAGAAAAAATAATTAAACAAAAAGATGAAAAAATATTTGAAGAGGAGATCAAAAGGGTATGTAAATATTCCCCCACATGTTTAAAAATTTGTCCAATTTTTCTAAAATTTTTGGTAAAAGTCAAGCTTGTGATCCTTTATTTCACATTTTTTCCATTTCACTAGAAAAAAACGAGGAAGAGCATTTTTAACATTTTTGAGTTTTGCATGGAGGTAATTAAGCGTGCTCAGTCCAAATTCCGGGCCCGAATTGAACTGTCAGTTTAGCTTTTTCATAAAATTTTTATTAAGCCATAAAATTTTAATTTATAATTTTTAAATTTAGCAAATGATTGAAATTGAACGTGATCATTATAAACATTTATTGGACATTCAAGACAAATGTGATCAAAAAATACGGCAAATTCAAAATGAAATTAAACAGATAAAGACAGAAATCGAAGCTAATATAGAGATTATTGGACAAAAAAATGATGAAAAATATCAACAATTTGAGACGGAAAATAAAAACAAAATTGAGAATTTAAAAAAAATTATTAATGAAAAAGAAATAATAATATCTACAATTGGAAGAGATATTACGCGGGTAGTATTTTTTTCTTCCTTTTTCAGCGCCGCAGGCGAAAATTTTGCGGCGCGGAAAATGAAAGGATTTTGATTGGTAATGTAGGGATACAGAGTTTTAGGCTGCCAGTGGATTTAGGGTTTAATCACCCGATATCCCTTCGTTCACCCTATATCTCCTATATCCCTCCAAATCCACTGACTTACAATTCAGTATCAGAATGAAAGGATTTGAGAATTTGAATTAGAATCTATTGATCGATATTTATTGAACGATAAATTAGGATTTTTTATTTTAATTCACTTAATTTTTTAATCACCGCCGCAAATGTCGGGCCGTAAGTGTCACAATAGGGGACAGCTTCAAATGTCAAGACCGCAATAGTCTGGGCCGCAAGTGTCTGGGCCTCAAGTTGATAGCCGCAAATGTCTGCGCCGAAAATTTCTGAGCCGCAAGTGTCGGGACCGCAAGTGTCAAAATAGGGGCGAGCCGCAAAAAATTATTACATGTTAAAAATGTTTTTTATTATAATTCTTATTTTAAATTTAGCAAATGAGTGATATGCAAGCTGATTATAATAAACATTTTTTGGAATTTCAAAATGAAATTAAGCTGATAAAGACAGAAAATGAGGCTAATATAAAAATTATGAATCAAAAAAATAAAGAAAAATATCAACAATTGGAGACTGAAAATAAAAATAAAATTTCGAATTTGGAAGAAATTATTAAGGAAAAAGAAGTAAAAATAACTTCATTAGAAAAGGATATTAAAGAGGTAATTTGTTGTAAAGTTTATTTAACTAAAAAAACTTAAAACTTTTTAAGTTTGTTTAAATTCCAGTGTATTATGTTATTCCTCGTTACTTGTGGGTTATCCCAAACCAGTTTTTGCGGACAAATTTATGCGGACTCATTTATGTACGAAAATCCCTTGATATCCATCTCATTCCTCTGTTATCACTCGATATATTGTTGGATTATAATTTGTAATTAAGAGGGATGAGCAAAATTATTGATTTTTTATTTATGAATTATTTTGATTTATGAATTTTTTAAAAATTCTAAAAATAAACGGTAAACGGATGTTTAAACGGGGTCATTAAAAATAAACGAAACGGTATACAGGTCTCAGATAAACGGTATACGGTTTTTTTCAAAATTAAACGGTTTTGTCCCAATCTATGTTATACAAATATGAATTCAACCAATTTCAGATACCCAAAATGCGTCGATGCAGTATTTGTTATGAACTTTTGACTTCTAATATGTATTCAATTCCATGTAGTCATGTTTTTCACAAAAAATGTATTAACAGTTAGATCTCTTTAGTAGGAAATTTAATTAATTCTAGTTTATTTTTTCTGTTTAGGAAGAGAGTTGTCCTATATGTCGAAAAAAAGCAACTTTGAATGATATTAAAGAATTCGTATTTAAAGTAAGTTAGATACATATATATCTGGGGTTGTGGAATTACAAAGGGATATCATGGGAATTGGAGGATAAGGTTATCAGAAATTTGGGTAATATTGTTGTTGAGTATGTATAGCCCCTTTTTTCCTCCATATTTTCCCCCTATATTTTTACAAAATGGTCAGAATTTTTTCTTCCTTTCATCCAATTTGCTTTCTAATTTTTGCCTGCAATCAAACAAAAAGGATTTTTTAGAGTATATTGAAGCATATATTTATTGAAGGACTTGGGGATTAACCTACAGATATGACTTCATTGAAACTTATTTACGTTAACTACCCACCCCAAAATTTTGCCCGATGTATTTTGTATATGGACAATTTATATATCTTTCGAAAGAGCTCGACGAGCTGAATCGACTGACACCAAAATCAGCCCCGGTCTCAAGTCTAGGCTGAGACAACAACATTAACATAAATTTACCATTAATCCGTCCAAATCACTTTATATGCACATATTCTCCTTTCTTCGAACTCAACTAATCACTCCAACTCTGAAGATATCTTTTGAACGATATCAAATCCCTCCATATTCTTTTAATTCACAAATTCCTTCCTCATCCTCAAATCTTTTATATCTATCTGAATCCCCGATCCATCAGAATTCCATTATATGCCTAAATCCATCGATATCCACAGATATATCTCTTGATTCCTTCTTGATTACGCAACTGACCACGATCTTCACTAAACCCTCCAAATTTCATGATATCCCTCTTAATACTTGTTTATCTTAGTAAATCAACGGTGCCATGATTTGAAAACACTATGCCAAAAAATTAAATATTTATTATAGGAAAGGGAGGGTATTTTTTCGATCGACATCTTGAGGGAGGTTTGCTATTTTAGAAGGCGGTCTATTTAAGAGAGGAGTTATTTTAAAGAAAATACGATAATAAATATTTTGTTACATTTAATTTATAATTATTTTATTTTAGTTAAATGTTATAGATATTTTCAATCGCAAACTTATTCTCGAAAATATTAAAAGTTCTGATACAATTATTCTCATTAAGCGTATGATTGAAATGAAAAATGGAATGCCTCTGAGCGAACAACGTTTGGTTTGTAAATAAAATTCGGAAAATATTTAGAATTTTCATTAAATTTATAAATTACAGCATAATATAAATAAATAAAAAGATGAATTGATCGGTACCAAAATTGAGTTTTAACAATATCAGTAACATTAGTAGGTCACGTTTGGGGAACCAGATACTATATACTTCAATGTTTATACAGATACAATAATCGTTTCATGACTTACGGCCGGCCACTAGGTCCTAAGCAGAGGTGGGTTGGAACAGTCAGTGTCGGAAATCGGAAGAGCCGGAAATCGGAGCTGGCTCAAAAGTAAGAAATCGGAAATCAAAATTTTTTCGAAAATCGGAAGGAAAAGAACGCCGGAAATCGGAATTCCGACCCACTTCTGTCCTAAGAAGTATTGTCCTATCGAAGAGAAGTTTTCTATATAAATATAAATTTTTTATAAATTTGTCTCATCCGTACGTGCGTGTCCGTAATTATCGTACTACCATTCTTTCCTAGTTCGAAGACTCTTTTGAATGATATATAATTAATAATATATCAGACAAAAAAGCTAAAAATGGTCAGCGAATCAGGAAAAAAGGGGGTGGGTAAAATAATTATTTTTACAATAATTTTCAGACATACGGAGGTAGACAACTCGAAAATGACCGTACAATTGCTCACTATAATATCGGAGATGGTTCAACTATTCACCTTATTATGCATATGCTAGGTTGTTGATTTCATATATGTTGGATGAGAGAAAAATGTTAAGAATTGGTAAAAATATAACTGATTTTTAAATAAATTGCTTTGAAACAAAATTTTTTTAACCAAAGCTTTGTAAAATTTTTTGAATAAATTTATTGGATTTAAAAATATTAAAAATTTAGAGTAAAAAGTTTGTAGAATTTGTGTTTAATCTTTTTAATTTAGTCAAAATTTAATAATTCCCACCAATATTCCCTTAATAGCACTTTATATTCAACGATGTCTTAATTTAATTTGTGTAAATTTAACTGTAAATTAGAAAGAATATCAAAACAGCGAAAATTTTGAGAATTTTGGTGAATATCAAGTAGCCTGTTTTTTTCTTATTACCGCCCTAGGGAAAAATTTTAAAAAATTTAAACAAAATCCTCAGCAGAAAAATGCTTTAAGATCAAAACAAATCTGAAATTTTATCAGAATAACACTGTTTCCCATCTTAATCCCCAAATTCTACAACCGAAACATAAATTTTCGTCCATCTCCAGACACAAAACAAAAATCTCTTTTTTAGCCAGCAACCTTTATTTAATATTTAAAATCCTCAAAAAAATTGAATAAAAAACTACAAAATAAGTTAACTATCATTTAATGATAACCCTTTAAATTATTTAAATTCGCTCTATATATTCTTTCTAATTAACGAGGCACTAAAAGAGATTTTCCTCCATCAATTTTAAGCAATTCTCCAGTCGTGAAAGTTGCATCTCTTGCAAGATAAAGAATTCCTTTAGCAACTTCCTCAACTGTTCCACAACGTCCTAAAGCGTGTCCTGCCTTTCCACGTTCAACAAACTTTAAAAAAGAATTTTTTAGTTTTTTTTAATTTTAAATTATTTACATCTTTATATTCTTCTTCACTCATATAAGCTCGTCGATGCAAAGAGGTGACAATTAATGCTGGGCTTTAATTTTAAAAAATTGTTAATTTTAGATTTAACACAAATTAAGTGTCCAAATGTAAAGTTGTATTTTAGGTTAAGAGGACTATCTCGTGCTGGTGGATTCGGTCCCGAACAATTAACCCTAAAACTAAGCCTTAGCGTGGGCATCACAAAGCCTGAGTAACTCTGTTAACTGGCAAGAACTATTTTCACAGTCTTAATAGCGTTCACAAAAACGCTAATTGAGGCAATCCTTGCCTGACTACCTGACTATGCAGATCTGTCATTTCTTAAGATAATTTTGACAAATTTTTCAGGTATTATCTGAAAACGTTCATAAAGGAAAGAAAGTCTCAAGTCATCACATAATATTTTTAATCCCTAAATGCTTTACTTTCTTTATTGACTCGATTCAGAATTATTAAGCATTCTTTTTGAATATCAGATAACCCTTTTAGAAAATCCCAACAAACAAACAAACTAGCTTACTTCACAGCATTAACTCGAATCCCTTTTGGGGCTAATTCTTGAGCCAAACATTCAGTAAATTTGTCTACAGCAGCTTTAGACATACAATAATAAGTGACAGCTGGGAACTATTTTTAAACAAAAATTAAACAAAAAAATATCAATTTTAAAAGGGACATACAACACAAAAATAACTATAAAAAGGAATTTTTACAAAATATATTATTTACAAATAAATAACCGTTAACAATACTTCCTTTAGTTTTTTCGAGATAAGGCACAGCTAATTGAGTTAAACGAATTAAACTTTTAATTAATTTTTTTAAAAGGTTAAATCTTCACACAAAAAAAACCTTTTAACATTAACTTCCATTAAATCATCCAAAACAGATAAAGGAGTTGTTTCAGCCCCTCCTCTATCTATTATTCCAGCATTATTTACCTTAAAAAATGTGTGTGAATGGAAAGTTTAA